AAAAATCATTCCACTTCTCCACCAGATTTTCGTTTCTATCTTTTCACATGAATGTCGATGATTCAATGGAAATTCTATAATTTTCGGAGCAATTTTTGATGGCATAAATGTGACAGTGCTGGAGATTAAGCGATATATTGAGTAATCATGTCGATGTATTGATTAGTTATGCTGTAAGGAATTGTCGGAAGAAACTAGGATTGCTATATCATACTTTAAAATATGTCATACTGTGTTGAAATATTAATTTGCATTAGAAAAGTTTAAAGCATATAATAACTCTAGTATAACGGTGTCAAACGCCAGGATACTTGGGCTCAAAGCTCTACCCCTATGGTTATAGATGCGATCCTACGTAATGCAGATAACTCTTGTCAAAACTACTGATTAAATCACTAAATTGTAAACCAAATCACTAAATTGTAAACCAAAACCTTTTAACACGGAACTGAAACGTTTTTACTCCCTTTCTTATTGCTCTGAATCGCTACGTCCTTCATCTTGGCAAGACGCTCCTGATCCACGCTGCTGCTTGTTTGCTTAAGACGACGTAGTACTTTAAAACCCGTGTACATGAAAATTGTTGTATCCAACTATGATTGAAAAATATCTTATCTACAGAAAGATGATCTGATTTGAATTATCCTGCAATAAAATTATGTTTCGAAATGGCCATATCTGGATGTTTTTGGTTTGTGCATTCATCCTTACAACAATGCAAAAAAGTGTCTTTGGAGGCCAGAAATTAAAGTACCGGATTCCGTCATCTACGCATTAAAATATGACTACACTTCTATCTCAGTGTTTTTACACCAGTGTTTCCAAAATTGTGCTATCATTACATATATAAAGGGTAATTCAGAATTCATCATCAATATTTGGTGGGGAGGTAGGGAATAGGAAAAGAAGGAGATTTCACATAGGAATGCATGGGCGCATATGCCATATGTAGTAGGGCAAAATGACCCCAGTTCAAAGATGGAAAGAACACAAAAAAATTAAGAGAAAAAACATTAATTACCTTACATGTAACATTTCTTTGCATCGGTTTTAGACTTACAAGAAGTGCTAGAAATGCCGACCATATGCTAGAATGCATGACTTACAACAGCGCTGCATGGACAACCTGACCTTCTGGAATATGCCTGGCATTTGCATTTCTCGGATGTTTGCGGCAGCAGCCGATATGCGTGCCACAAGGCCCATAGCACTATCAACAGGGGTCTCGTACACCATGTTATTCATAGCACTCAATACAAAGAAATAGTTTGGACATAAATCCGAGTTAACGTGGCGGTCAAGAAACCGGTCTACCTCGACCAATTCATTCACATTGACCACCAAACTTTCTGCTTAGGTAAGCACGCACAGCATTTGCGAAATGTGTAGGAGCGCCGTCATGTTGGAACCACATTCGCCGGATAATACAATGAGGAACCTCGTTCAGAAGATCCGGTAACACAGTCTGAAGAACTGTCAGGTACTTGGCATCGTCCAAACGAGACGGTAATAAATACGGGACCAACAAACAGTCACCGACAATCCTAGTCCACACATTGACAGCAAAACGTTGTTGCGCAGCTTCAGGTATTGTACCGTGTGGGTTCTGATGAGCTCAGACATGCAAATTGTGTTGAAGACATCCTCTCGAGTGAAAAAGGCTTCATCGATGAAAAGAACAAACGTTGGGAAATTGGGATCAATGGCTGTTCTCTGCATGAACCACTGACAAAAAATAACACGCTTGGAAGGTTCGTCTACAGCCAGTAATTTCACTCTCTACAGATGAATCGGATGTAACCCTTCACCGTGTAATATCCACCACGCTGTTGCTTGCGAAATTTCAAACTGCCTAGCCATACCTCGTGTGCTAGCACCACGCTGTAGGACCTTTAGGACCTGCAGACATATCCTGTAGGACAGCTTCCTCTACTGCTACTGTCCGTGCCGCTTGGAGCCTTCCTCGATTAACATTACTAGCAGCAAATTATCCTGTTTCACACAGCTGTCGATGAATACGTGAAAACATTTGATGCTGTTGCATACGGCGGTTGGGGAAGCGCGCTGCATACAATTACCTGGCTCGAAGACATCTTTCTCCTGTCGCACCGTAAGTTACATGCATATCTGCAAGTTCATTTCACGTATACCGGTTCATGTTACTTCTGCAAAGTCACCTAGTCGAATGACGACTGACTGCACGCGTCAAATACCTGTGTTTATTAATGAGAGTACACACAGCGCCCTCTACACCACCATGCGTTTGTCTGCGCCCATGTTTTCCTATGTGAAATCTCTTTCTTTTCCTATTCCCTACCTACCCACCAAATATTGATGATGAATTCTGAATCACACTGTATATGTAATAGATTCTGTAATAGAACGCAGAATGTTGAATTCATAATGAACAGCGAGAAGTTTGATGGCTTATATCTGTTGAAAGGCCAATCCACAATGAATAAAAAATTTGGCTGTCGAGGTACATTTAATTCAGTTTTTATTTCAGGAAACATGTTGCGGCCAAAAAACAAGTTGGCACACTATTTATGCCTATTCCAAAATTACTATTTTTGATAAATTTATAGTAAGAAAGAAGGAGCAGACAGACTGCAGTCCAGCTAGGCCAAAGCGTAGAAAGCAAGTGCGTTATGTTCAGGGTGAAATCTTAATTTAGACTGAGCTAGTTTTGTTTTTCAGTGTATTTTGTTTGGATAATTAATAGTGCTGTAAAATTACTATTCGCTGTTTGAGTTTTAGTTCCATTTACGTCTTCAGAATTATGCAAATTATATGACATGGATTAATCTCGAAATGACGCAGTGCAGAAAGATTATTATTTTTAGAATACAGAAGGAAAGTTAATTTACTCTGCTAATTTAATCTTTTACATATTCTTTATTTTTCTTATATGTAAGATATAACAAAATATGATAGCTGTTTCGAAAAAATAATTGGCGACCTCAAAATTGACATTTTTAATTTGGTGATACGCCCCTAAATTCATCTCTTCTCTCAGGTTCCAGATTTTTCTATCTTACATAACGTTTTAATGCAGGTGCCTCTTGTCCAATCAAATTAATTGTAAACCAAAACTCTGAACTGAAACTTTTCCGACTCCCACCTTCTTCCTCTGAAGTTCTATGATACTCTTCCTTTTTTCGCATAAGCTCACCTGCTGGTAAAACGCTTTTCATCCATTCTGCTGTTTATTTGCTTAAGATGACGTCGTACTTCAAATTGAAACTTACTGTATTCAGATATAATTAGGAAACATCTTATCTGAAAAAGTATGGTTTGATATGCGTAAAAAATAAAGATTGTGATTCTTCAAGCAATGTTGTGCTAAATTGCGTCATCATTGCTAATTTTCAAGATTTCTTACATATATTTTGTTTAAAAATGTAGTTTTTTTTGTAATTCCGGATATGAAAAACAACAGGCAATTTTTGAGGAGTTCTTTTGAAATTTATTGAGCCGAGAAATGTTGAAGCTTTTTGAAGCAATCTACAGCAAGTTTGCCATTTCGATTTATATTTTGGAAGGGAATTAATTGCTGTTCAGAGGGCATTAAAGATCTGAATATAATGTTTAGTGAATGTTAATGATGTGATGTGATGTTTAGTGAATGTTAATGATGTGATGTGATGTTTAGTGAATGTTAATGATGTGATGTGATGTTTAGTGAATGTTAATTATGTGAATATAATGTTAAATTCAGAAGCGAATATAATGTTACAGCAATAGCTCCCAAAATCCGGCTTCGGTCAGTCAGGATTCATTGTAAATGATCAGTCGGTACGAAAGTCGATCAGTCTGAAAGTTTCAAATCCAACGAAATTTAAATTCCGCAAAATACAAATAAATTCTAAAAACAGAGTACACAGAATTATTTTTAACATACAATTGACCTTTTCTTCTTTGAAAACTTTTTTCTTTTTCAGTTAATTGCTAAAAACAGAATTTCCTTTCGTCGCAATCAGGTCAATTTAGCAATTTTTTTTGAAAAGCGTTCTTTGTGAAACTGCATAATTTCTGCTTCAAACATATTATCGTAAGCTTAATAAAACGTACTAGCTGGAAAAAAGGCGGTATGTTTCTCCTTATAAGAAATTTTCTCTTTTCCCAGACTGCTCTTGCGGTGTAATAAGTCGCAATTATTCCGGATAACAGTTGGAAGATCCATAGTTTGAATCTAGGCGAGAGCATGGCTCATTTCTTCTTCCAAAAAAATTATAGTAGCTTTACATCTTAAAAATGCCCTCATAAAAATCATCTCCGTATCCTACTCTTCCTCAGCACAGCATTTAAAATATACATTAATTTATTATTTGAATATATATATATTTAAAAGATAGGACGCGCGTTCAATACGTTAACGATAATATGATAATTACGACTTATCCATTAATTTTTAGCTTAACAGGAAACATATTTGCTCAATTTCTCCCCAGTATATCGTAATTGAACTGACTCTTATAGAATACTTTCAATATATCAAGTTCAAAAATATGAACCTGTCTTACATAAAATTTCCTCCATTTCCTTCTGAAAAGTGTCTTAAATTATCGCAAATACCTTCTTTTATGCGACGTCGTCTTGTATTCGAGCCTATACTATATTTACTTTCTTAAATATATTTATAGTGACTTTAAGAAAAAATAAGTTTGAAGCAAATCAGATCACTCATTTTTCGAAGTGATCGAACTGCGCGCGCTTCTAGATCCTCTTGGATTGGTGGAAGCTGCTTAAGAAGAGTCTGGAAGAAAAAGGGTTAAATGAAAAGCATCCAGGAATAATCCCAACTCATTTGTTATACACATACGGACGTCAGAGAGCGGGCTTTTGTGATCGTGGACTCTAAAACAGACGTCGCGCGGAGGCCGAGCATTTAAATGCCGAGTTAATAACTCAATTCGATTACCCGTAACGACGACAATTCGTGCCGGATTGGAAGCGCAGTATAGTTTACGATGGCGTAGAAGTATCCCGGGAACAGAAAGAATAGCGGTCGTGACATCGCTTCTGTTTTTCGCGTTCCGCGGACGGCGAGAGCATGGTCTCCATTCGGATGAATCGCAGAGAGAAAAGAGTTTTTTTTAATTCCAGCGCTTCCTGCAATCGTCATGGAGGACTGGTAAGTGGCCCCAGTATTAGCATTTATGATAAAATTTGGTCCTTCTGCTTTTGACGAATCACCCGCTCCTTGGTTTCGTTTTGACCATCGATTCCGCGACATCGATTCCATAGCGGAACGAAATTTCGTTTCGCGGTAACTTTTTTTGGGGTCTTTCCTCACGGCTCCCTCTGGTGGCGTCCAAAGCGCAAGGCCCCATTGATCGTCGCGCGCTCGATCGCAGCAGCCGAATGAACATTCTCTGACTATGGCGGCCAAACTCGGCTATCCAAGGCCGCCACGGCCGCCGGCGGGTATCCCCCGCAGGAACCGCCGGCACACGCTCGCAAACGTTCTCCGGTAAGTCTAATTTTTGCCAGTTATCTCAATCGGCATTTCATTTATTCCAAATCCAATTCTGTTCTTGCATTGTAGTATGCAGTTCTTATTCACGAAAGCGCGCGAGCGGGCGCGCGCGCGCCAAAATATAATCTCTACTTAAAAGTTTCCTCCAAAATCAGTCTTGGTTTCACGATCTTTTGGCCGACTCGTCTAAGCATAAAGTACTGTGTAAATACATTTTTCCTCCGCTATTTTCCGAATGAATAAATATAAAATTTTTCTTACTTGTAGACTGTTTTGTACGTTTTCGTTGTTATTTATATGCAGTATGAGTGGAAAGTGCGGATGTGCGGTTAACCAAAATATTTTTCCATTTTCTCTAGGTCGTCAGGCAGATTGGTGAAAACTGTTGACGCGCGATCTTACTCGGAGGAGAGAAAGACTGTTAAGTAAACGAACCGCGATTTGTTTACAGGAAAAGCCGAAGCGCATTGCTCTATTTTTAACTCGGAGAAGAAATACTGCAAACATAACTAACTCGAAAACCGACGCGAATCTTGTTATATATATTGATTTGACACTCAAAATGTATGAAAACATGTTTCAAAAAACAAAATTTTAGAGTAAATAGTTTTTATATGATACTGCTCTATGTATTGGATACACGCGGTGCGTTGAGAGCGGAAACAGTATGTGTCTGCTGGTGTCCCGATTTTAGCACATTTTGTTTTTCTTTTTCTAAAAAGGAATTGGATTCTCATTTCCTCTTCCTGTTTCGCAGCAAACTTTGTGCTCCATGATAACAAAACGGAGAAACAAAGAATAGTAGCACATTGTTTTGGGAGCAAACATTTCTTTCTCATTCACATTTAAGAAATCATCTGGAAATGGGGAGAAGAATACCTCATTTAATTGTGCTTCGAAGCCAAAAGCATTTTGTTTTCCCTTTGTTATAATTCAATATGATACTGCTTTTGTTTTATGAATCTGCATTTTCATTAACTTAAATCCGTGCTTTTGTACTAAGATTATTCAACATTAAGATTAGTTTATCATCATAATTATCGCCGCTTATAATTATATTAAAATATATTACTTCAAACAGAAACCCAGTAGTTGAGACAATTTATTAACATGCATGTTTCATTTCTATATACGTAAACTACTTCTCTCTTTAATAATGACGCAGATGATGGACGTGGATGCACATATGCTAAGTTACGCAAAATATTTTGTTACGGAGGCATATAAATAACAACATAACAAAATATTTGTTACGCAAAATATTTTGTTATGTTGTTTGTTATCAAATGATCGATGCTAAACGAGAGATGCTCCCACACCAATTCACCTCTACGACAAATTTATTTGCCATAAGATATTGTACTTACATTATACTGCTATTGTACTTACATTAAATATCGTGCATTTAAAATGGATACATTTTTTTACTAGCTTCTAATTCTGTTAAGGAAAAATCTGAAATACATAGGAAATATAAGTTGTGATTGAAACAGGTGAACTGTTCGGAGGAAAAGATAAGTAAAGTAAAAAAGATGAACTAATATGGAACGCATAACGTTATTTATGGAGGTGAAATAAGGAAATATCGTAAACTTATAGATAAAAGTAATAGTACGTTGATCCTATTTAACACGTATGTTTTATTTTTATATGCGTAAACTACTTCGCTCTTAGGTAACAGATGAGGGATATGGGTACACATTTATTTATCTAAATTAACACAAAAGAATTTGTTACGGCTACGAATTGCTATTGTACTTAAGCAACATAGCGTATATTTAAAATGCATACATTTTTAAAACTAGCTTCTAATTCTGTTGAGAAAAATTCCTGAAGTATATTGGATATATAAGTTGTGATTGAATAACTGACCTGTTCAGAGGTAAAGATAAGTAGTAAAAATAAATTTAAATGTTTATATAAAACGTATAATTTTATTTATGGAGATGAAATAATGAAATTTCATTAAGCTATAAATAAAAGTAACATACATTGATCTTATGGTTGCCCGAATTTTTATGCTTATGATATTATATGAAACAGCAACGTGTTTATACTATTCATGGAAGTGAAAAAATAATTGCTCATAATTTCTCCTCATTAGCTCTTTTAGTCAATTTAATTCATTCAAAATATAACTCCGTAAACACAGATTTCATTCAAGGTTTAATTTATATTTTTTCTAACCTAACATACTCTTTATTCTTAAATTTAGCTGTTAAGGTTTTTTAAATTTTTTTATGGATTTAAAATTAAGTTCGGGAATTTTAATGTCGTTTTTATCTCATTCCAGTACTGTTATAATCACTGGCAGAAAAGGAACATTTTACCTTAGCCTTTAATGCTGAAATGAAATTTGTTGCAGCAACAAATTTCCTTTAATTACTTCCATTAATATTTAAATTATTTGCACTGCATTAATTATTTTCAGCTTTATCCATTAAACACAGTGAGGCTATTTTTTCCCGTTGTTAGTTCAACTGTTTCTGTGCTTTTGTATTTATTCATTTTCTAACTTATTATCATTTTTATTAATATTTGCTTTATCTTAATTTATGTATATAACTTATGAGTGTGTATCCATCTGTCAATATATATTTATCTGTGCAATAAAATTCCAGAACAAACAAACAAAAACAACAAGAACAACAGAAAGACTTCAACTTTTCTGATGACTTGGGTTTTGCTATTAGCATTTTGTATTATAATTTATTTATTTGTTATGTTAATACTGTTATTGTAACAAAGTTACAAATAATATTGCTATCATAACGAATTTATCGATAATTTTTCGATTGAAACGTATTTGCTTCGCGTTCTCTACTGGAGCTTTTGAGTCATTAATGAATATAATTGCGAATGAGCTTCGTTTAACTGTTTCATTGCATTATTTAAAGGATCCAGTTTTTACAAAATTAAATAGCATTTTGAAAAAATAATATTTAAGCTCTGTTTTTATAAATTAATTCTTAATGAAGGTTTTCACTGTTATGATAATATATTATTAAAGATGGCAAAGAATTAAGAAACACTCATACTTTTATTCATAAGCATTGTTTTTCTGATTATAACATTTTATATTGACACATAATAACAGTTAATTATCTAGTGATTTAAAATTATACAAAGATCTTAGCCATAAGAAATTGAAAAAATGTAATATGAAAGAGAAAATTGATTTTGTTAATTTACTTAAAGGAGACAATTAACATTGAAGAAAAGTTCGGAGACATTTTAAGCGAGAGCTATTTTTAATAGCCATTCCCCAGATAAGTGATTTATACGAATGAATAAACTTGTAACAATATTCTAACATCAAATACTTAAGAAAATATGATAAGTGATATTTATAACATCAAATACTATAAGAAAATTATACTGATCCAATTTAGTTTAGGTAACAATGCCAGTAAATGTTCATTTGAATAACTATTACCCCTTCATTGAAAGATAATACATGATAGAATTAGTGTAATGATAGAATGCTGAAGTTTTGATCGAGCACAGAAATACACAAATATCTTATTTCAAAAAGCTATGCAAAATAATTCAATGATGTATATATACATAATATATATGTATATATCCAAAACTATTTATACTAACTTTGTTATTCTTTTAAATATTTTTAATCATTTGTTGAGACTCCTACATATATGAAATGAGGCTTTTTAAATGCATTTTAAACATACTATCAGTATATAAAAATCTCTAGCTTTCATAAATATAATGTACTCATAGAGTTATATTTTACCTAATTGATGACATATTATTTTCTAATTAATTATGGAAAGATAATTTTACTTGTGTCTAGATTATTGCGTTTTATTGAAAGTGTTTGATTCCGAGTTAAAATTAATTTGTTAAGATGCTGATATAAATTTTGCAAATACATGCTTCTTTTCTTTCATACCATCTTTAGAGTATAAACTCAGTCTATTGGATTCAACACAACTGAATTAAATGCCCTTTCTTTCACATTTAAACTGAATCAGTGAATCATTTATACATATTTATACTTCATTTATTATTTACGATGTTTTTGTGTTTCTTATAATTTACTTGTAAATTGTTTTGAAACGGGGAATATAAAACCTACGAAAACATAAAAACATATTTTACAACATAATGTCATTATTTTATCAAAAACTTTCGAATAAATTTCTTTTTTGTGACCTATCCTATGACAAGACCCTGCCTATTGCTCATAAAATTCATTAGATCATTACTCTGGAAATGACTTTCCTTCTGAGGATCATGTTAAACGAGAGATGCTCCCACACCAATTCACCTTTACGACAAATTTATTTACCATAAGATATCAAGATTGCGAATACTAGTAATACTAGTAGATAAGTACATTAGCAAGTTTAATTGCTTCGCATACAAGAATGGATCTTATCAATGGCTTCAGCTTCATAGACTTAGGAAATTTAAATCTAGTTTCTTTTTATTGGGGAGGGGGCATATTATTTTGTTTCGGAAAGAGTTTCACTAAGCAATATTTCAGAACCAAGTAAAATCAACAAGTAAAAATATAAGTTTAAAATACCAGTTTTGTAAATATTTTTTTTTTCTGCTGAATTCGCAATCTGAAGCGTTGGATTAATGAAGAAGTTTCTTCCTCGAACCGCATCCCTAGTTCTAAAATTAGG